AGGAGCCCCTAGAACTTGTACTTGAATTTAGCAGGATTAGAAAACAAAAGGTATATATAAAAATTCAGGTCTGTGTATATTTGCTATAAATGAAGAATTGGATATTGAAATTTAAAAGTTAGATACATTTATATCTTGTATTTTACTGCATTTGCGTTCTGACACATTAATCCTTCTTCCTATACTCTATCCATCTTATTTTTTATTCATCTCGAAGTAAGTTGAAGGAAGTAGTGCATGTTACTCGCAAACATATGAGAATGCATATCATCAACTAGAGTTCCATATTTATTTATAGCTCTTTTTTCTTTTTGAAATTAAATTTATAAACAGTAAATGGCAAAAATGTTAAGTCATTCATCGTTGGTTGACCAATTCACACACCTGTGCAAACTCTATCATGGTATAGAACAGTGATGGGAAAGCTTTTAGAGCTTTCAACGATATAAACAGCCCGCTGTGGCACGTGTGCCATAGGTTCACCACCCCTGGTAGAGAACATTATTATCATCATCCCAGAAAGTTCCATCAGGCCCCTCACCAGTCAATACACATTCCTCACACCACAACCAACTACTGTTCTGATATTTTTCACTATGGATAAATTTTGCCTGTCCTAAAACTTTGTTGAAATTGAATCATACTTTACACATTCTTTTGGTAATGATTCTTTTACTCTACATGTCTTTGAGACTGATCCACGGTTTTTGTGAGTACTATTCTGGAGGTTTATTGCTTTATTGCTGATTAGTATTTAATTGTATGTAAATACTACAATTACTCATTCTCCTCTTAAAGAATACCTCAGGTATTTCCACTATTTCGCTGTTATGAATAAAACAGATATGAATATACTGTAGAAGTCTTTGGGTAGACATACTCCTTGAATTCCCTTAAGTAAACACCTAGCAGTGAAATGTCTGGGTTATCAGGTATATGTTTAATTTTACAGAAACTTCCAGAAGTTTTGCAAAGTAATTATACCACTTTATACTTCCAGCAACAGTGAATGTAAGAAACTTCTGGTTACTCAGTATGCTCACCAACATTTGCTATTGCCAGAGGTTTAGCCTATGGAGTGGATAAAATTAATTCACAAAATTTCCCATCTGTTTTCCTCTCTGATCATTTGGAGGATGAAAAACAATGATTCCTTTTATCTTATTTTAATGTTAATGATAACATTTACTGGACACTTATTATGTGTCAGATATTGTGTTAAGTACCCAACACATTGTATAGGAACTTCTTAATTATTATCATTGTACTGCTGAAACTACTGAGACAGACAATAACTTCTTCAAGGCTACGTATCAGTGGTACCACCTTCCCAAGATCTGGGTCTTAGCCTTTTTGATATGCCACCCCTTGAGGCTGGAGTAGGACAGAAAAGGAGTTCACATTTGGAGCAACTCCCGCCCCTTCCTTTTGCCTAACTGTATGTGTACTAACTGGAGGAAATTCTAAGTTTAATAGGGATCCATAGAGCCACAGCTAATCCATCTGAGTGTCCATCTACAAACATTAGCTTTTTTCCATGCTTTAAACCATAACATAAAACTGTTGGTCTTCCTCTGTGCTTCATTATGTCTTAAGAGTATTTCACTCATGCTTTCTAAGAACACTGAAGTGAGTGAGTTCCATAGATTTGACTCTATTTATAAACAAGATGTCATCAAGAGATATAATTAATGTCTGTGGCCACAAACTATTAGCTGTCAGATCCATGTCTTAATTTTTTGTGTATTCTATTAAACCACATACCTTTTCCAATTGTACTTCAGTTCCCTCATTCATTTCTCTTAACTTGTTCAATCAAAATGAACTGAATTTTTGATGGGGCTCCAGAAAGGTGGCAGCTCAAAAGCAAACCATTTCTGTTAGTTTACTTCTGTTATTGTCTGTTCAACTTACATGAAAACCTAGAGGTCTAAAAGGAAAAAACAATTAATGAAAGTGTAACACTTTCTTTTTAAAGTTTCATTATCCTAGAGCACGTGCTACAACCTCAGAATCAGTTGTTTTATAGTGGGTTGTCTCAAGCTACATAATTCCAGTTCCTCACTTGGTTTCTTTGACTTTATGCCTGTGCTATAATACTGCTGTGGGCTTACTGTAAATAGTTATATTCAAGAGAAGTAACAATCATAATAATAATTTCTGACATTCTACTGAATTTAATGTGCTTTCATTTAAAAGCCAGTAAATATCTACTGACATTGCACTAAATTTAATGTGATGTCATACATTTTAAAAGCCAGTACATATCCACAGTATCAAGTGTGACTAGGAGCACTTCTGAGTACTGTGAACTTTGTCTTGCCCTCACTGTTTTTTCTTTCAGAATCTTAGCCTATCTCTCTTAAAGGCAGAACTTCTACTAACCTAAGAAAATGGAGCTAGGTAATAACTTACGTGCTCTCAAAAGATCATTGGGTCACTGTGCTTGATTTATCATGCACAATGATAAATAACTGTATACCATGGAGTAGTGATAGGTAGGTAAAACAATGTTGAATTATGTTCCTTTGTAAGTGTTTCTAAGAAACTTGGGTTTGCATATATCATTTGCAGATTCCTGCTAATATTACATACAAAAACCTACTCAGAGAGATTAATTATATTATTTGCATGAAATCTAACTTCTACACAGCACTTTACAATATTTCAAAGAAAGAGAAGTGGCAGAGAAAATTATTAAAGCAATCAAGTAAATGAAATTAATTGTATATCCTTTTTAGTTAGAAACAATGATGTTAAAAATGACATACAAGTAAAACACACAAGCTAAATATCACATGGTTTTTCTTATATGAGAAACCCAATAAATAAATAAATAAATAAATAAATAAATAAATAAATAAAGTGCAAAATATAGACATAATAGAAAAAAGAGAGAAAAAAATTATTGTAATCCAGCATGGACAATATTGGCTAAAAGTGTACCTTAGAGATTTGTTTTATGTTTTATGGTCTGTTAGTCTGGCTATTAATCTGCGTTTATAACAATTACCTTGATAAAGACTTAATAAAGCTTAAGAAAAAGAATTACACTGGGCCCACCTGAAGAATCTAGGATAATATCCTCATTTTAAGATCCTATAATTAAATCCTTTTGGTATAGCTCCTTTGACATGTAAAAATCACAAAACTGTAGGTTCCAGGGATTAGGTGTGAACATCTTTTTGGGAAGAGAAGGGAGTGAGCACTTATTCTGCCTATCACACCTCAGGAGCACCTGCTGCCTAACAGCTGGGAGGCAACCCTAGGATAGAATCTCCTTAGGCAGTCTGCACTCCAAGACAGTCAGCCCAGAGGATGCCTTCACATGATGGTGGTGAACCTATGGCACACATGCTACAGCAGGCACACAGAGCCCCCTCTCTGTCACACGTGAGCAAAGTTGGCTCAGCAGTTGAGCCTCAGATAATAGTTGTTTTTTTCTAAACTAAAACCTCAGTATTCAGGTTTAATTGCAGTGTTGGGACTTTGTGATAAATAAGTGGGTTGTGGGTTTCAGTTTGGGCACTCGGTCTCTAAAAGGTTCGCCATTATTGCCTTAGCATTTTCTGTCAGAGAGATTGATTTGGTCCCTGTGAAGGAAAGATCAGCCTCAGAAGAGAGAAACCAAATGTTGCTATCTCCCAGGCGCTAAGGAAGGAGCAAATGAAAAGCTAGATCATTCTCTGCATGTAGGATGCAATGACTGGTGCTGGTTTAAGAACTGTTTGATACTGGTCTAAGATGGAAAATTACAGAAACCAAAAGAAAGCTTTTAGAAAACTTTACAGCAGTTTGGCAGATTAATTTTATTATTTTTCTGTCAGCTAAATATTACTTTTTCGAGGAATTCTCCCTGAACTTGCAGATTAACAGAGGTCCCTTGTTCCCTTGCAAAACATTCTGCACTTCCTTTTATATGATTTTGGTTTTATTAGTATGACTCTTATACTGCTGTATACAGGTGTGAGAGTTGTGTTATTATTTTCATTTTCTAAAACACAAAATTTGCTGAACTTCCCACTAACCTGTATGGAAAAAAATCAAAATGTTCTGTCAAGCCTATTAAACCACAGAACAATTCTGGAGTTTCTGGAGCCCCAGGATTTAGGGTATGGGCCTCTAATTTTCATACCATTGTGGTCCACAGCCCCTGCTTACATACTCATTGCCCAGTTTGTGGTTCATTTCACAAAACTATGTTTTGCTGAGTCTAAAAGAAAATTTTTCTAATGCCAAAATTTTGTGGCAGAGTTCATGTTCACAGTATTGAAATCCTTCCTGATTTCATAAACTGTTGAATTTTTCTAATTATTAGATTTAAATTTCATACTAAAGTATTTAAGAATTACTGATATAGTAAGTATTTTTAAAGTTCCTTCTTGACTTTTACATGGGTAACTTGGACATTAATGAAATGATAATTCCAGTAAATTAATGAATGGCATTAATGGTACCCTAAATCCCTGTTGTCAGTCATTAGTACAGTCACCACTAGCTGGCGCTATTGGTTGGATCTTGTAACTAACACAGGATGGTGCCTTTATACAATTTCAGATAAGACCATTTCACAAATAATTTTTATTTTTTCCAAACAAAATTAGCTTTTTTATTGAAATAGCAACATAAATATTAATAAACTTACTCTTTATTAAAGAAATCAGGATTAACAATAACAAAACTCAAAACACTATCCTAAATAACATGTGAAAAATGAAATAGAAACAGCAATTATAATCCATTATTTTTAAATAGTAACATTGAGAGACTACATACCAAAACTCTTGGGATGCAATCAAAGATGTGCCCAGAGGTAAACTTATAGTCTTACGTGTCATATTAAATAAGAAATAAAAATAAATGAACTACACCATCAATTACAAAGAAACATTCATAAAACAATAAGCATAAAAATAAGTAAAGAATTAAAGATGAAAAGTTATATTGATATATACAATAGAAAAAATAAATTGATAAAATATCTAAGTACTGGTTCCTTAAAAAGATTGGCAAGTCTAATAAAAGAAAGGAAAAATGTAACTAAAAAGATTAGAACTGAGAAATAAGCTATAACCACAGATATGAGAAAATATTAATTATAATTTTATGTAGAAATCTGCTATCAACTTTTAAAATTCTATGAAAATGCATGATTTTCTTTAAAAATATAATTTTAAAATTGATATTCAAGAAATAGTAATCTGTCTAGGCCAAGACCATAGAAGTTTTTTGAAAGTTTTCAGAGAATCATCTTCCACTCACTCAACCTGAAAAATCATGAGGTCTAAATAGTGTTATGAGTGAGTTCCTCCAAAACTTAAAAAAATAGACTATCCCTATAATACATTCTAATCTAGAACATAGAACATGGAAATTTTCATTTTTTTGAAGCTGATAAAGTGGTATACAAAAATGCACAACTACAGTCCAATCTTTTTCATAAATATAAATGCAATAATCTCAAATAAAATGTAAGAAAATGAATTTAACATTACACTAAAAAAGGAAAAAACTACCATGATGAAACAGGATGCATTTTATGCAGAATAACTCAATTCTGAGAAACCTATTAACATAATTTATTGTGATAATAGACCACAAGAGTAAAACCATAATGATAATCTCTAGTTGTCTGGAATATGTTTAATTCAACAACTTTCAATAAAATGTTTAGTTGAACTGGGAATCCTGATAAAGACCTGTATTTCAGTCCAACAGCTAACATTAAAAGCTGGTGAAATATTATTGGCATTCTTAAAAAGTCAGGAATAAGAGCAAACTCTCACCACCATTTATTCAGTATATGAGATGTAAGTATTGTAAAGGAAAAGAGAAACTATTAATTACATTTGAAATGACTGGCTACTTGGAAAAGAATCAATAAGGAGGATGAATGAGAGTTCCAAAAAGCTACCAAATAAAAAAATTGCTTGATCCCCAAGGAACAACCATTTATTTTTTTTAAATCCCACTCAACAACAAAGACATGAAATATCTAATATAATAACTAATAGGAATATGAAAGACTTAAAAATTACTGAGGATTAAAATAAAGGATGTTCTTAGTAACCTTGACAAGTGACAAGTTCTGGAAAAGGAAACTTAGTATTACAAAATTAGCAATTCTTCCCCAAATAAACTCTACTATTTTTAAAGTGTAATCTATAACATTAAAAATTGTCAAAAGTTTCTTTTGAAACTTGATCAAAATATAGCTGAAGCTTATCTGTAAGAATAAATGCACAAATGTAGCCAAAAACATTTTGAAAAAGAAGAGTAACACTTATACCCCTGAAAAGTTAAATACACAACAAAGCAAGTAATAAAATGACAATAATTTAAATAACACAGGTTCAGTAACAGAGAATACCAAAAAACAAACAATGAATCCAGAAACCACTTCAAGAATATGTAAGAATTTAATAATTGATAAATGTGAGATATTCAAAACAGTAGAAAAGGGATGACACAACAACTAAATAAATATTTAGACCCTTAATCACATCTATATCAAAAATAAATTCCATTTGGAGTAAAGATTCAAATCTAAAAAAAATTAAAAAGAAACATGGCCAGATATTTATATAACATTGATATGATTCATGAAAAAATTATCTAAATGAAAAATACAGTATGTCTGTATATCAAAGACATCATGAATTACGTTGGTACATATCTGAGAAGGGGCAAAATGTCTGCAGCATACAGGAAAAACAACGGTTAGTGGTTTTAATATATAGTGAACTCTTACTAACCAGTAAAGTGAACCCCTAACAGAAAAACTGGCATATGCATTCATACATTACTGCAATATTTACTGTGCACCTAACACGTGCCAACTATCATGGAGGGGCTGAGAATACTACACTGAAGAATGCACACATCCACACAGGGTCTCTTCCCTCATATATTCTAGGATGGGAAACAGACCACTCAAAAAAGTAAACAGACAAATAAATAAGGTTACAAACAAAAGACTGAGACAACAAATGATTTGAGAGGTGAGGGTTACTTTCCATAGGGTGCTCTGGGCAGGCCTTTTTCAAAACATATCCAAGTGCTGAACATTTTGTCATATATTTATTTGCTGCTTATCTAAAAGATGCATTATGATGGGGCAGCAGGTGACCATGAAGAGCAGCTCAAGCACAGAGAACACATTTACAAAGTCCCCTGAGGTGCAGAAAAGATCTTGGCATGGTGGGGGAACCAGGAGTGGCTGCCTTGGGGTAAATAATAGAGAGGAGCATAGATGGGGTTAGATAAGTTAGGGTCTGATTATGCAGGGCTGTATGAGCCATGGGAAAGGGTTTAGATTTTAACCTAAAAGCAACAATTTACTTGATTCAATTTATAATAATGGTTATTGTTGCCACTGTATCAAAAATGTATTGAAGTGGATCAAGAGTGGTAGCAGTCAGACCAAGTAGAACTGACTGTCACCATATTCAGGTGAGAAAGCATACTGATCAGGACAAAGTGATGGCACTGAACTTGGAAAGAAGCAGACAGCATAAAGATATATTTGGGTGATAAAAAACTGGTGAATTAAGTGATCTACTTGTTGTAAGGAATAGCTCATGAAAAAAAGCAAGGCTGAGTCCCAGGTTTCTGGCTAAAGCAACTGGCTGAATGATGGTACTATGTATTGCAATAGGGAAATGAGGTTTGGGATGAGAAAGAGAAATTAGATTTTTGCAAATGTTGAGTTTGGGAGATCCAAAACAAGCAAAGGAAAAAATTAAGGAAACAATTAGATATGTGATTCTAGAACCTAGTGGAAAGGTCTGAGATACATAAATGTGAAAATCATTTCAGTAAAAAGATGGTACTTAAGTCTTTGAAAATTTGTAAGTTACCTGGAAAAGAACACAGACGTAAAAGAGGGACCAGGGAGGAGGCAAGAATCCTCAACTTTTCAATATTAGGCAGAAGATGGGCTATAAAACTAGGGAGTAAGTGACACAGGAAGAAATACAGGCGAGAACAGTGGCTTGGATATGAAGAGGAAACATTTAAAGAAACAGTGGTCAAGGTCTGGAGGGCAAAGCACCCTTTTGGACTGGGAAGTATGAAAATGCCTGGTGACCTTAACAAGGGTGCTGTCCGTGTGTTAGTGGGGACACTGTATCATGGTGGACTGAAAAGTAGACTAGAAAACACAGACAACATGAAAGGACAACTCCACAAAGAAGTGCACTTATAAAGGAGAGCTGATAATTGGCTACAGATGGAGACGATGTGCACGAGGGAAGATCTGATTAAAATGAAGATACTGGAGGAGCATGCTTGAAGGCTGATGAGTACAATCCATTGAGGGGAAAGGGACTGATGATGCGGAAAAGAGAAAGGGAAAACCTAAAGAGAAAATTCTTGAAAACTTAGTATGGGGTGAAATTCAGAGGACAAAAGGAAAGGCTGGCCTTTGAAACTTCCTCTACAGTCACAAAAAGGAAGGTGGTTTCCAAGGTAGCTGGGATGGACAGTCTTGTGGGAAGACCAGAAGTCTGTACTTAGTAACTCCTATTTTCTCAGTGAAATATGAAGGAAACAGGGAGAAGGGGACCTGGGCATTTTGAGAAATTGAAAACATATGAAAAGAAGTTTTAGAAGAGGGGCACTGAGACTATAGTAGGAACAGCACGAATTTTAGATTTGAAGATAATGGACTGAAAGAAAAACTAGTTGCTTGAGTTTTGTGATTTTCTTTTCTTTTCTTTTCTTTTTTTTTTTTTTTTGGTACCAGGGATCGAACTCGGGTCCTTGCACTTGCACATTTTGTGATTTTCTTAAAGAAAATGTTCAGTTATCTAAATCAGGCCCATGCAAGGTAGATGGTATAGTTTAACAAGGATTGAGATTTTTCTCAGGAAATAACTTGGAAGAAACTGAGGTTTGAGAGCTGAGAGCACTTCATTTCAAAGAGTGGGATTATGAAAATGGAGCATGGAATCTAGGCTAGAGAAGAAATTGCATCCAAGACAAGGACTGATTAATAGTGGGGGAAGATGAGGTTAATGAATTAGCTGTCAATGAGCAAATAGCCCAGGATAGGAATATGGTAATCAGGGAGTGGAATGTCTGAAATGTGTTAGTTCAGTCCTAAAAGCAAACAACAAGACACAGTTCAACGTGCAAGTTCTATTGATGGGACACTTGTGAAGGATAAAGAGAAGGAAGCAGGACAGGGGCAGGGAGCCTTCATATCATAAGGCAGGTCTGACCCACCTATGAAAGGAGAGGGAGATTGGGCAAGAGCCTCACACCAAAGCAGCACAGTTCTAAGAAAGTTCCAGCCAGGTTTTAAGAGGTCCCCATGCCCAAATCGCTCATTAGGGGCCTCCTGCATTCTACATGAATGGACCATCACCAGCACACAGCCTGCTCTCAGTCACTGACTGGGATTAGCCCAGAAGGAGCACCTCTCAGTGGATTCCCTTGGAAGGTAGGGGAACCGTCAGTCACCCATGCTCCCTGGAGCAGCTATGAGAGGTACATTTCTGTGGTCACCACAGACGAGATTACAAAGAGGTTACTGTTTCTAATAATAACAAGGTTAGAACAGTGGGAGCAAGGATTGATTCAAAGGAAAGAGTCGGAGATGAAGTTACAGGAAGGAGGAGACTGAATGCTGGAGTTTTTAAGTTCAATCACAGTTGCACATGACACAACTCTAGGTTATGTCAACCACTTCGTCGTCATTGGGGATACGCAGCTATTAAAACAATCTTCTCCCACATGGCAGTAGTGAGGGGCAGGAGCTAGCTTGATAACAGGACTTCGAGGTGGAAAAGACTAATTAAGAGCTACTCTTCAAAGAACTAATAATGAAAGAAACTGGGAGTAGGAAGTCTATAAATTAGGACAAGGAAGGAAAAGGTATCTTGTCCTGTGACAGATTCTCAAAGCCAGGGTTATGGCAGGGAGGATGAAGTCATGCTCTGTGAGCAGCAATGACCAGCCCCGGGGGCCACCGATCCCCGGCCCTGGCCCTAAGGCACGTAGTCCTGAGGGGCTTGGGATAAACCAGAATGGGTTAGAGCACAGAGTGACAGGAGGTCTGGGAACGGGCTGAGGACCAGGAGTTGGCTGCTGGCGGTGGCCTTTCGGGTGCTCCGCGGGTCCCCAGGGGCGCGGCGGAGACGCCTGAGGTACAGGGCTGCGCGGGCGCCCTGGTCCGAGGTGGGCGCGGCGCTCACGGGGCGGGCTTGCCGAGGCCGCGCGGCGCGTGCTGGCGCTCCCGGGCGGCGCCGCGGAGCTTAGCGCGGCAGCTGGCGGCGGCCTGGCGCGTGGTGACGGTGCCCGCGGGCGGGCAGCGGCTCCCAGGCGCGGCCGGACGCAGTATGTTGGCGCTGCGGGGTGACGGCTTCGCCAGGCTTCGGCCCGCACGGGCGCAGCGACCCCAGGAAGGAAAGACAGAGACGCTGGTTAGAAACGCACAGGAAACACGCACGCGCTGCCCCCCAGGAGCGGCGGCCCCAGGGCGGCGAGATGCGCCTTCGGCGCCCCGCGAGACGGAACTGGGGTCCCGCCCAAACTAGTCTAAGGGCGTGTGTCCGCGATTCGGGAACTCGGAACTCGAGCAAAGCCCTGAGACTTAGCAATACTCCGCCCTTGAAATCCTAGTTTGAGAATTTTCCCTGAAAGAATAACCATGGATGCATACAATATTTTTCAGTGTTCAATGCAGCAATAGTAGCAGAAGACAAAATAGAAAAAAGGATCGTTAAAGGAAAACTGGAAATATTCTGTATCTAACAGTTAGGTGTCAGTCTTTTCCTTTCAGTGGATACTAACCTGATCTTACAATAATGCTGTGAATGATATGGAAAAGTATACTATATGCAATGAAAAAAACTGTTCCATCCCCATCTGCAGTGTAGATGGGTGTCCACTTCCGTGCTTATACACACAACACTCATGTATAAAATACTGGAGAAAAACATGCCAAAATGTTAAGCAGTTATCTCCACGATACCACTACAGGTACTTTTTATTTTCATTTTATGAATACATTTCTCAGATGTTATGCAAGAAGTGTATTTTATTTTTATAGTGAAAATATATTAATACAAGGAATTTTTCACTATTATATCGTTATCCCAAGTTAAATTAATGAAAATAATTACACAGTATTATGTGGCAAAGAAGTGAACATCAGAAAGACTTTAAAGAATGGATAGTCACCACAGAAGTGATCTTCCTCAAAAGTTCTGAGTAAATCACAGTATTACAGTGTAGATTAGCCCTTCCTTACACATTTACAGTTAATCAAAACCACTATCTTTTATGAAGCTATATCTTACTCATTTCTACTTTAGGAAAAAAAAAGTTGTCTGTGCCTTTGACAAATAAAATTTGATTGGTAATTTCCACAGACTTGGGAACAGAAAGTCTACTAGAAACAATATTTTACCATATTTTTGGAGCATATGTCTTACATAATACCAATGTTCTACAATAACTCAATAATTTTTATTCTATTTGAAAGAATTCAATGGGAGCAACAGTAAAATATTACAATAAACTAGAGTCTAAACCTAACACTGTGGTTTTTCAATCATAATGGATTTAAAGTTTTAAATTACTAACACCTAGGGAAACTGTGTGGCTAAACTTTGCTCCAGGAAAATGCATAAAGGGAACAATGAAATAATACAGAAGAATGGTTTTAGGATTTTGTTATTAAATTGATAGAAAGCCCATTATAAATTCCAAAGATATCTTAAGCCAAAGTGACCTGAAAGTTGTGTCACTCATTTTAATGATGAACAATTAAAGATTAGTTGTTTATTGAAATGTTGCTTTTTGCTTAGATGATAACCTGATTAATCATACCATCCTGCAACTTTCCTTCCCTCTGAAAGTATTGCAAAGAATTATTATGTCTGCAGGAATACCTTTAGTAAATAAAAAATATCAGAAAAAATTTTACAAAAACAACAAATTCCAAGAGATCAAATGTTTCACCGTCCTTGTACAAAATAAAGTTTGTAGGAGCTTTCAATAAAGCATTTCTCAAACCTGTTCTATTCACCAAATGACTAAACAAAGTAGGGTCAAATAGAGATAAGGCGTAAGAGCATTTATTCCCGGCACTACAGTACAGCTTTCATAATCCTAACATTTCAATTTAATCCAATATTTTTGGAATGTCTGTTATGTCCTAGGTGCTGGGCTCCAATACTATAAACACCAAAGGTAACACAAAGTTCCTACCTTTGAGAAATGCTATCTAGAAAATTACTTTTGGGTTATTAGAATGTCTTAAACCCTGAGGCTAAGCTTTTCTTCCCATCTTCTTCAGATGAGCTAATTTCCTGTCATTCCTTTGCGCAAATTCATCCAAAGCAGCCCATTGTCTCCATACTGGCTAACTCAAAAGTTTTTAACCTCTGAATGAAGCCAAAATCTAGCCTGAGATTCTGATTAAAGATGTAGTCTTGTTTGGGCCTCTGACATAGCAACACATACTTCATCTTTGATAATTGTGTCTCGTTCCCTGAGGTAAACTTGCTTAAATCCTTGACTCATAAAACTATATAGAACCAAAGCAGAAATTCATAGAATGCTTTGCTAGATTAAGGTGGTCTGTATAATGGAACACTGAAGTCTTCCAAGACTTTCAAGTTATGAGTCAACTCACATTATAGGTTCAAGTTCAAATAAGGCCTCTGCAAATTTCTGTTTGGTAGAGAAAAACATCAGATTTTGTTCCTATTTCTTGGCAATACCTCTTGAAAAGATGACAGGTGCTGATATGGAAGTAAGGAGGCACAATGACATGAGGCAGTCCTCATCGAACAGGAAAAACATGCCGTGAACCTGACATCACAGGTACACGGTCTGCCCTCTGATTTCTATGACTTTTCCATTTTTGTTTTTCAGAGAGTGAAAGCAAGAATGAGAAGGAATACTTTGAGATGTTGAGAGTTTTCAGCTTCCAAAGTGTTCTAAAATGGGATTCTTTGATATCATCAGAAAACACATGAAAACATGAAGCTGAAAATGCTGAGAGGGATCAATAGTTTCATCTAGTTGCAGGGTGAAGAGAAATAGCATAGCAACCTACTTTTTTTCCCAAGTCTGGAGCTAGTGATCACATGACAAGCCCTGCCTCAATTTCCTGTCACATACCTCATTTAAGAATTTCTGGGCCAAACTGTTTTACTCTCTATTCTCATAGCATACACTATTTCCCATTTGTGTGCTTTTGCTCTTACTATTTCACCCACTAAAAATGTTTTCTTCCTTCTCATATTTATTGAAATGCTATCTCTCAAGATCCACACAAAAGCCAAAATCTTTCATTATTTTCCCTGATCGCTGCAGTCTGAAATTATCTCTCTTCTGAACTACCATGGTTCCTGTCTGATTGTTCTCAAAGTGTGGTTCTGAGACCGTAAGTTTCAAAAATGCACTATGATCTATATTTTTACAAATACCAGAAAGAGCTGTGGTAATATCTCTACCATTTTCCAAATCTAGTTTATCACCCTTAAAACACTAACTCATCCTCCAGATAGAGAAGAGGCACTTATTGTTATTTGTATGACTGATTCATCTGAATCATTCCTTTCTGTACTCATTTTCACACAAGAAGTTTTAATTTGTCAATTGTGTGTTTCTCAGATCTGCAATGGCAATGCTGACTGCTGAATTCACCATTTTAATCTTATCCTTGGATTTTCAATCATTACCTCCCAATACCCATGCCCATCTTGCTACTCTAAAATGCTGTTACAATTTTCAAAATAATTTTCCACCCTATGAGAAAGAATTTTAATAGAGCTTAAAATGAAGGAAAGCAGACAGAAAGAGCCACATATGTCATCTTCTATTCAAATAAGATGTAAAATCAAATGCATTCTGGAGCTGAGCAGAAACTTCAAGATTATCTCTTCCAAAAGAGTCACATTATAAAAAAAGAGAACTGTGGGGAATAGGAAAATTTGGGAACAAGAAGGTGAAATTTTAAGAGTAAAAATTCCAAAAGACAAAAAACAGTTTTAAAATCATGCAGTCAAAAGATATTGTTCTAATTACTTAAAGCAACATTAAGGCCAAGTGAGATTAAAGAAGTAAATGAAAAGAGAGACTGAAAATAATTCATGATGTAAAGATGACATAGATCAGTCATCTAATGATCCAAAAGAATGCCTTTGCCATTATAAGTAACAAGATAGGGTGATCTCAATACTAGTTACACTTATTAATAATAGTTACTATTTATTTACTACATGCCATGCACTGGTCTAAATATGTTACATAAAATAGCTCACTTTTATCAATAAAACTGATTTTTATTAAACTCTAATTGAAGAAAACTGTGTTAAAAGAAATAATCTATACATCTGTAAGAAAAGAAATGAAGAAAGCAAAAGTTGTGATGTGTCTACAGCCTAGTTCAGTGGTGGTGAACCTATGGCATGTGCCAGCTGTTTATGACTGAAAGCTCTAAAAGGTTCACCATCACTAGCCTAGTGTAATAGAAAGGGTCCTCTGAAAATTGAGGGATAATTGTATTCCTATGGGAAAAATGAGTGTATCACACTGAGAGTTGATTCAATGCTCATCCAGGAACCTTCAGGTTATAGTTTTCTGAGTATTTTCCCTAACATGATAAAAGTCACTGACCCATAATCATGAGAAATCACTGTGCCCAACATTCATCACTGTAAATTAAAGAACTGGCACTGTGCTATTTATACACACCAGGACCTATGATGCTGGTTAGAGTAAGCACCTGCCTTAGAAAGTAGTGGCCATGTCAGTTACCTGTGAGGCCTGACAGGTAAGCTAGCCTGCCTTCTCTTGCTGCGCCTTCTCTGAACTACAGTTCCATGTGATTTTACACACACACACACACACACACACACACACACACACAAATCTAGTTGGAAATAGAAATGATAGAAAGAGGAAAAAAATAATTGTTTCTCCATGTCCCAGACCACCACGTTGTGAATTTAGAGCTTAGTTTTTACAGCAAAGGATGAAGGTGTTTGTTTTTAATGGCACTAACAAGTATTTATTTTGCTTATTAAAATAATAAATCACCCAAGGAAAAGAAAAACTTTCAAGCAGAAATTGGACATACAAACTTTTATCAAAGAATAAATTCAAAAATGTTTTAGATGTCCAAAATACTTGCAACACATGACTACTTAGGGCTTTAAGGTGCTTCTCAGTTTGTTTTCTGAAGTGATTCCCATGAGAGAGAGGACTATGACTATAGCAGGGTCCTAACATGACCTATCACAATTCTTGACCAGACTTTATCTTACATCAACAATTCTAAAGTTAGAATGCAGTAAGAACCAATGGACTATGCATCCAAGTGTGCAGATAGCACACATAAAAGCTACACTAATGC